GCCGTCCCGCTCCAGGAAGACCCTGGCGCTCTGGTTGCCCAGCAGCCGCAGCTCCGGGCCGCTGTCGGAGGCCGCGCTGTTGTTGGAAATCTGCAGCTTGCTCCAGCCCGCCCAGTTCTTCGTCAGGAAGAGATCGTCCGTCGGAGGTGTTGGTCACGATGAGCGTGTTGGAGGCGAAGAGCTGCGGCGCGGAGACCGTGCCCGAGCTCGTCACGTCGCCGCAGACCACGCGCTGCCCGTCGACACTCCGCCGCTCGTGGCCGTGAAGGTGCAGCCCAGGCTCTCGCAGTCCAGCGGGCCCGCGGAGGCCGCCCCGGTGATGGTCAGCGTGGCGCCCGTGAGCGCCCCGGTGGCTGCGAAGCTCGCCGCGGTTGCTGCGCCCGAGGCCGTCAGCGTGCCCGTGGACACGTCGCCCACCGTGGTGAAGTTCCCGGCGTTGGCCGTGTTGTTGATGGTCAACGTGCTGCCCGTGATTCTGGTGGCTGAGCTCAGCAGGCCCACGCTGGCCGCGCCCGTGATGCTCAGCGAGCTGCCTGACACGGCCCCTGTGGACGACAGCGTGGCTCCGGCGACGGTGCCGGTGGCTGTGAGCGCTGCGCAGGAAACGGCGCCCGAGGCGTCGTGAACACGTCCGTGCAGTTCGCGTCGTTGCACAGCAGCTGGTCGCAGCCCACGTTGCCCTGCGCGGTGAGCCCGTCCAGCGTGGCCGAGCCCGTGAGGGCCAGCAAGTCCGCCAGCAGGTCCGTCACGGAGACCGACTCTCCCTCGAAGGCTGAGGCCCTGATCTGCATGCTGTACAGGTCCAGCGTGCCCGCCGACTGCTGCACCAGCCCGGGGATCGAGCCTCCGAAAGCTCCGAAGTGCAGCTTCGCGATTCCGCCCGGCGGCACCGAGAAGTCCAGGCGCGCCGTGCTCCAGACACCCTGCGAGGGCGTGCCGAGGAAGGTGCCGGTGACGCCCACGTAGTCGTTGTCGGCCGCGCTGACGTACATCACCAAGTTGGAGGCCGTGCCCAGCCTGTACCGGCAGCCGAAGGAGTAGCGTCTCCCCGGCGTCAGCGTGTAGGTGCGCACGATGTTCCAGGCGAAGGCGCTCAGGGTCATGGCGTAGCCCTCCAGCTGGAAGCCTCCCACCGTGAAGCTGGCCGAGCTCTGGCTGTTGGAGCGCGCCAGAAAATTGCCTAGCGTGGTGAGCGTGGGCTCCAGCAGCAGCGTGACGTCGTCGGCCCCTCCGTCGAGGAACTCGTGCTTCAGCAGCAGTGCCGAAGCCGCAGTGTCCTCCTCCACCTCCGCCGTGTTGCCGGTCTCCAGGGTTGCGTCCAGGATCTGGAGACCGTAGACGTCCACCGTTCCAGCCGTCTGGTTGGGCAGGCCCGGCGCCTGGAAGTGCGCCCCGAAGTGCAGCTTCGCAACTCCGTTTGGCGGCACGGTGAAGTACATCTTGGCCGTGCTCCAGGCGCCCTGGTCTCCCGCGAAGCTGCCGTACAGGGGGTCGTAGACGTTGTCGGCCTCGGACACGTACACCACGAAGTTGGAGGCCGTGCCGAGCCGGTAGCGGCAGGCGAAGAGGAGCTCTCTGCCGGGCGTCAAGTTGTAGGTGCGCACGATGTTCCACGGGTTCGCCGCCAGGGTCAGGGTGTAGCCGTCCACGCTACTCCCGCGGTGTGCGTGGCCAGGACCACGCTGCAGCCGCTGCTGGGGCGAACCGTCCAGTTTGACAGCGAGACGTCCGTGGGGCCCAGGATCTGCTCTCCTATGGCGGCCACCACCTCGTCGGCCCCTCCGTCGTCCGGAAAGCGCACTGCTATTTGCAGCGCCGAGGCCGCCTCCGTGACTCCGAGCTTGCCGGCAAGGAGGCCGTCTACTTGTGCGATGGTGTAGTAGCTGAGCAGCGCGGCTGCGATGCTCGAGGCCGTTGCCGTGTCCTGGTCTGCGGCTGAACGGTACGCCACCAGCGCCGAGGTGATTTGGTTGGTTGTGAAGACGTCCTGGTCCGGGCCCGTCCGGTAGGCCAGCAGCGCGCCCGCGATGGCGGCCTGCGTCTGCGTGTCCTGCGCGCTTGCCGTGCGGTAGTCTCCCAACAGCGCGTCTACCTGCGCCGAGGTGTAGTAGGCCAGCAGTGCGCCTGTGATGGCGCTGGTCGTCTCCGCGTCCTGCGCTGCCCCTGTGCGGTAGTCTCCCAACAGCGCGTCCACTTGCGCCGAGGTGTAGTAGGCCAGCAAGGCTGCTGTTATAGCAGCGTCAGTGCCCGCCGTGGAGTAGCAGTCTGCCGTGATGCTCAGCGTGTCGTCGCCGTTGGCCAGCGCAGCAGAGAGAGGAGCCCCCAGATGCAGGTTGCGAACGACGTTACTTCCGCGAACGAGCTCCCAAGTCGTGAAGCCCGCCCAGGCCGGCGCGTTAACAACTCCGCCGCTGCCGGAAAGCTGCAGGGCGGCGAGCTCCGCGAGGATTGCGTCGAGGGCGCTCTGGAGCGTGGTCTCGCTGGCCGAGAGCGCGGCGTTCGTGGCGTATGAGGCCAGCAGCGTCGCGTCGGCCTTGGCCCCCTGGAGCGCCGTGATGCTGGCGTCCCGGCTAGCAAGCTGCGCTGCGACGAAGGCCTCGGTGGCGAGACCCAGCAGGGCATTTGCTATCTTGGTGTCTACCTCCAGCGGCGTGTCCAACCCGTCCACCGTGGAGAGCAGGGAGGCCAGCGCGCTTGCGTCCGCCTTGCCGAGGAGGGCGGCGTCCAGGGCTGCCGTGGTGACAGCGTCCAAGAGGGCTGTCGCTATCTTAGAGTCCACCACCGAGGAAGTGTCCACGGCCGACTGCAGGGCGTAAGCAGTCAGGGCGCTGGCGTCTGCCTTGGAGGCCTGCAGCCCCGAGATGGAGGCGTCTCGGCTCGCGAGCTCGGAGGCCAGCGCCGCGGCGGTGACGGCCCCCAGGAGAGCGTTGGCCACCTTGGTGTCCACCTCCAGCGGCGTGATCCTCGCCGCTATGTCTAGGGAGTGCTGGTCCACCACCGTCTTGAGGCCGTTGTCGTGTAGCCACTTGTGCCAGCTGTAGCGCCAGGTCGAAGTCTCGGTCTATGAGGCCAAGGTATGCTTGTAGTTTGAACAGCCATTCTTCATACTGGGAGTAGTCACCAGTGAAGAAGGGTGGTGGCAGTTTGTATCTATGTTGTTTCTGAACATCGTTGTCTTGTTCTGTTCCTCCTACTGTGTCTGCTGTTGGCCCGTTCTCTGCTCCTGTAGTTTGTTGTGCTGAGGCTGATGCTGCTTCTCCTGACATGTCGTAGTAGTTTGGCATGTGACTGCTGTTGCTGTGGTTGTAGTACTTACTGCTTACTGGAGCTCCCCTATGTTTAGGATCTCAGCTCCGCTACCACGTTAAAATCGGTTGCTACTTTTACGTACAAGTGCAAGTGCAGCAGTGTTCAAACAAACAGTCAACCAATGTAGTCTGCAGCTGCCAACCTCTCTCTCTGTCTCTGTCTCTGTCTCTGTCTCTGTCTCTGTCTCTGTCTCTGTCTCTGTCTCTGTCTCTGTCTCTGTCTGTGTCTCTGTCTCTGTCTCTGTCTCTGTCCCCTGTCTCTGTCTCTGTCTCTGTCTCTGTCTCTGTGTCTGTGTCTGTCTCTGTCTCTGTCTCTGTCTCTGTCTCTTTCTTTCTCAGAGAGAGAGTCTTCTCTCTGTTCTCTTTCTTCTCTCTCTTCTCTTTCTTTTCTCTCTTTTCTCTCTTCTCTCTCTTCTCTCTCTTCTCTCTCTTCTCTCTCTTCTTTCTCTTCTCTCTCTTCTCTCTCTTCTCTTTCTTTCTTCTCTCTCTTCTCTCTCTTCTCTCTCTTCTCTCTCTTCTCTCTCTTCTCTCTCTTCTCTCTCTTCTCTCTCTTCTCTCTCTTCTCTCTCTTCTCTCTCTTCTCTCTCTTCTCTCTCAGTCGAAATCAACGGCAAAGAACTACTTGTCAACAACAGTCGAAACGCAAATATGACACAAACAGAAAGAAACATGAACAAACCATGTCCTTAACATATTATTGGTTTGCATGCGTGCCATCTCAGAGCAAAAAAACATCGCAGACGATCCTTCCAGGCCTGCTTGGAGTGAGCTGAACCGTGCGCTGCCTGATTGAAGATGATACGTGCTTTCATCTGACGAGAACAGATGTGGTGAAGTGTCTCGCACGCAGGTTGTTCACGTTTTCGCACTTGGTTGGTAACCAATTGATCTCAGCTGGCCAGTCTCACACTGTTGACAGGATCCTCGGGTGCAACAAACAACACAGCCCGCTGCCATTGGTTTGCTTCCAAAGTTGCCGGAAAGTTGCCCAGCTGGAAGCGGATTGCTTGAAAGGCGTCGCGAAGAGGGTGAACGGTTCTGGCGCTAGGTATTTAGTTGGGGTTAGCCTATTTTCAAGCAACACATAATTTATGGGAGGACAGTGGTTTCCCTGCTCTGAGCTTGGAGGAAACACAGCGTTGGATCTTGTATCCGTCATGGGTTTTGCATTTGTTCTGGCAATGTTGCAGTCGGATGATGCTTAACAAAACTTTACATCGGTTCAAAACATGCGCACCGGATGTCAACGAACAAATCCTGGCACAGTATGATAAGATGATGCGTTTGAACTGGGGGATTCTCTATAGATAAAGTGTGAGTTATGCAATAGTTTGTGCCTCCTGCCAGTACTTGATTGCTGAAGACTTCAAAGCAAGCGTTTTGTCTGCGGCACAAGCAGAATCTTCGCGTTGCACAGTATTCGTCTTGGGGCCTACATTGCCATACAATATGAATCGGTGATCGGTAGCAGGAGCAGCACAGCTTTCCCGCTAGCAATTGGACTTTTTGAATGTACGATGCTGGCTCAGTGTTTGGAGCACTGGAAGTGAACTTGATTTGCGCATTTTGCCTGTCTGCGATATTGGACTGCCCAGTGTTTTGTTCCCCAAGTGTCCCTGTCCAAGTGTTCCCACGTGATTCCAGGGACACAGTCCACTACCGAGCCGTGCGTGCGGCTTGCACACCTGGTCTGCTCAGGAGAAAATCTGGCTCAGGCCTGGGCAAAGAGAACTTTAGCTGCGAGCTCCCCCATAAATTTGCGGCGGGGCGGGCCATGGCTTTGTCATTCCGATGGCCGTTTAGCATGTTTGACCACAGCGCCGACGACGGGCTGCAGAATCTCCGGGACGCCTTGGAAAAAGCCGAGGAAGCGGTTTCCTCCTCCTCTAGCGACACCGAGGAAGAGCGAGAAAGAAAGGAAGAGATCCTCGAAGGCCGGGGGAAGGGAGCGAGTCAGGTTTCTTCAAAATCGCCAGAGAACTCGGCGGATTTGTGGGAGCTTTGCTGAAAGAAAACATATTTTCTTCAAGGAAGCAGATCGCAGGGTGGGAGTTTTTTGAAGTTGAAGACCAGTGTTCTAGTGCTACCTTCCCCATTCTGTGCAGGGATCCTTTCTAGAAAACCCCCGGAAACCCGGGGAAACGGCCGTTTTTTTTTTTTTTTAAAGAGCAGAAGTGTCCTTCCTGTCACAGGCTTCCGGGCGAAGCTAGAGGAGTTGGAGGTGGAGACACAGAAGAGCTTCCGGATCACAGCGCCGCGCCAGAACTGGGGTGGTTGGGGCAGGTTTCTGTGGCTTTCAGTTTCTGAGCGGTGTGTTTCTGGTCTTTACCAAATGGAGAGGGGATCTTCGGTTTCTTGGTTCTGTTCAATTTGCTACGTGTGTAAACTCAATACGCATGCCTCTGTCTTTAGGCGGGTTGTTGACTTGATTGTGATCGTCCATCGTTTCAAGAAACCAACTGACCAGCTCATCTTCATCGACCAATATCCATGTTGCTCCAAATATAGAGTCGGAGTTCTTCGCATCTGTTCTCTTTCCAGCCTTCATCTTGGTTTGAAGTACCACAGCTTTATTTTGATACAGTTCTCTTTCCAGCTTTAATCTTGGTTTGAAGTACCATAGTTCAATTTTGATGCTGCCCTCGTTCGCCCCGGACGGACCATTTCCGAGCCGCTGCAAGGCGTTGGGTCGGTCGTCGTGTCGCAAGCGCCTTGAGGTGTGCAGCGCCATGAGCGGCGAGTGCGTGGCTTCAGTGCGGCTGAAGCCCAGCGACTCCGTGCTGCACTTGTGCGAGGCGGTGGTGAAGGAGATGGGCCAAAAGGCGACCCGAGAGGGAGACATGGGGACGGGTCAAAATTAAACCACCAGGATACGGACCGCAGGTTTCAGTCCATGCTTCAATTTACCAGGGCAAGCCATTTTGGGTACCTATTTTTGACCCACAGCCACATGGTGAGAGGTCAGAAGTGAGGTAGGGCACCAGCATTTTTAGTGGGATTGGTGTTTGTTTGTACCAGGATCCAGTCGGCTTTTATTTGTCGCCAGTGTGTTTTGTGGACTTCGCATCGTTTTCCGTTTTTTTCCTTTTTCCGTTTTGAGCCCGCCAAGATTGCGGGCAGCCTCAACCAATACACCCCCATGTCGGGCTGGTGGAGTGGGAGGATGGGATGGGAGATGGTTTGGGATGTTTGTTTCCGTCGGAAATGCTGTATTCATCAGAGAAGCCTCAATTTGCTAGGTATGAGAAGTGCACTTGCAGTCTAGCGCAACATAGCGCTCGCAGAGTGCCTGAGCGGGGTGCAGGATCAAAAAATAATTATTTACGGGATCAAAAAGAAATTATCGACACCCGGATCAAAAACAAATTATTTACAGGATCAAAACAAATTATCTCGCCTGGGGGTGCCAAAGCGCTGTAGTTTACATCATTTTCGGGCAACAGCGCGCGCATTTTACGGCTCCAGCTGTAAAATAGACACTTTCCAATACAAGCGCAGTACGCGAAGGTCACTTTGGCAGCTCCAGTTCGAAAATCACAACTTTTCAGATACAAGCGCAGTTCTATCAACGAATCTAGCATCGGTTAAATGCCTGTAGGGTTAATGTAGGTTGGGTTTCGGGTGGGTTTGGGGTGGGTTCAGGCTTGGTTTAGGGACGGATTAGGGTCGGTTTAGGGTTGGTTTAGGCTGGGTTTAGGGTTGGCTTAAGGTTGTGTAGGGTTGGTTTCAAGGTGGGTTTGGGGTTGGCTTAGCTTGGTTTAGGGTTGGTTTAGGGTTGGTTTAGGTTGGGTTTAGGGTGGTTCTAGGTTGGCTTCGGGTTTAGGGTGGGTTTAGGGTGGGTTTAGGGTTGGTTTAGGGTTTAGGGTCGGTTGAAGGTCAGTAGTTTAGGGTGGGTTTAGGGTTGGATGAGGTTTGGTTAGGGTTGCTTTAGGGTTGGTTTAGGGATGGTTCAGGCTGGGCTAAGGCTTGGTTTAGGGTGGGTTTAGGTTTGGTTTGGGGCTTGAAAGTTGTTTAGGGTTTTTAGGGATAATTTAGGGTTGGTTTCGGGCAGGTTTAGGGCGGGTTTAGGGTTGGCTTAGGTTGGTTTTGGGTCTGTTTAGTGTAGTTTTCGGGTGGGCTTAGGCTGGGTTTAGTGCCGGTGTACGTGGCTTAGGGTTGGTTTAGGGTTGGGTTAAGGGATGGTTTAGGCTAAGTTTACGGTGGTTTGGGGTAAGTGTAGGGTAGGGTTAGGGCAGGTTTAGGGTTGGTTTAGGGTTGGTTTAGGCTGGGTTTAGGGTTGGCTTAAGGTTGTGTAGGGTTGGTTTCAAGGTTGGTTTAGGGTTAATTTTGGTTGGGTTTCGGGCGGGTTTGGGGTTTCGGGTGGGCTTGGGGTTGGTTTAGGATTGGTTTAGGGTGGGTTTAGGTTTAGTTTAGGGTCTGTTTAGGGTGGGTTTAGGGTGGGTTTAGGGAGGGTTTTGGGTTTGTTTGCGGTGGGTGGATTTTGGTTGGTTTAGGGTAGGTTTAGGTTGGGTTTCGGGTTGTTTTAGGTTGGCTGAGGGTAGGTTTAGGGTAGGTTTAGGGTGGGTTTAGGATTGGTTTAGGGTTGGTTTAGGGCGGGTGTAGGGTTGGTTTAAAAGTTGCGCAGGGTCGGTTTCAAGGTTGGTTTGTAGGTTGGTTTTGGGTTGGTTTAGGGTGGGTGTAGTTTGGTTTAGGGTCGGTTTCGGGTAGGAGAGCAGGCCAGGAGACCAGGACCAGGAGACCAGAGACCAGGAGACCAGGAGACCAGGAGACCAGGAGACCAGGAGACCAAGGACCAGGAGACAAGACACAGGAGACCAAGGACCAGGAGACCAGGAGACCAGGAGAGCAGGGGACCGGCAGACCAGCAAAAAGCAGGAGAAGGAAATCAGCAGACCAGGAGACCAGGAGACCAGGAGACCAGGAGACCAGGCGACCAGGAGACACGGGGACCAGGACACCAGAAGACCAGGGACCAGGACCAGCACGACACATGGGGACCAGGAGACCAAGGACCAGGAGACCAGGAGACCAGGAGAGCAGGGGACCGGAGACTAGGTCTCAATAATTTGTTTTTGATCCCCTAAATAATTTTTTGTTGATCCCCAAAATAATTATTTTTTGATGCTCATCCCGCCTGAGCGGGTGTATTCAAGGCAACTTTTTCGATTGAGTAGCCTCTTGACTCTTGCCCTGTCCACATTCAACACTATTCTCTCCATTTTCTGGCGGCAAGCCCCAGCCAGCCAGCCAGCTTAGCCTAAGCCTCGGTTTGGGGTGGGTGGGGTTTGCGTTGGATGGGCCTGTTGGCTGCAGCTAAGTTGGGCTGTTTTCGGGTAAGCTTAGGGTGGGTACAGGGTCGGTTTATGGGTTTGGCGTGGCTGTAGACTTAAGGCAGGTTTAACCCAGACCAAACCGACTCGAAACCACATTGCACCCTGATACCGCCCGAAGCCCTACACCCCAAGTCAACCCCAGCGTCACTCCCAGCCAACCCAAACCCAGACTTCCACTCTAATTCCACCTCGAGCCCGGCTCAGGTGGTGTCACACTCCGTGCTTTTTCAGAATGAGGCTCGGGGTGGGGGGGGACTTCAGTCTCGTGCTTGATTGGAGGAAGGTGGGGTGGTCTTTTTTTGTTTGAGTTGTTAATTCTGGTGCAGAAGGTTACTTTGAGAATTGGATGGACAGATGGATGGCTTGGATGGGCTTGCCCTGCTTGCTGAAGCAGGTCCGGGCCGTGCCAAAGAGGTGACCGGACGGCGAGCCTGCCTCACCCTTCTTGATCTTCCGGGCTTGTTCCTGCTACTCGGGGGCCTTTGAAATTGAAAGCCATCAGAATAGTTGATACGCCTGATGGTGACACTTGCGGAATTCTAGAAGACGCGCGCACATGCATAGACACAGGCAACAAACACACACATGCGCGCACACACACACACACACATGCACACGCACATTGCTGAGAGTTCAGTTTCCGCTTGACAGCTTGCCTCATTGGAAGGTCAGTCTTGAGCTATGGTCCCAACTTTACCTTGTGGAGTCGACTCATTTTCTTTGAAGCCTTCAAGGATCCATGCTTGTTTGATGGCTGCAGATTCTCAAGCACTCCGAGTCCCTTCCGGCTTTTTGCACTTCCTGCTTAAGGAGTCTCCATTTGCACACGGGTCCATGCCTTTGCTTCACTCGCTTCAGGTCCTGCCGCAGCACAGGGAGCTGCGTGAGGCGACGGGGACTGGGTCCGGCGGTTCGGGGGAAATCCATGCCGTGGTTTTTTCTTTCTCCGGTTGGCTGGGTCACAGATGGCTGTTGGGTCGCAAGAAGACCATCAAGGAATCAAGGACCGTCCGTGTCTTGTAGCCGGCTCCCGGTTTCGACGCGGGCAGTTTCTGTTGCGACGCGGCCGAGGTGGGACTCCAGGATGGTGACACCGTCTACTTGGCCAGAGCGCCCGTGAAATGTTTGACCGCCTCGCACGATGGCACGGCGGCCAAGCAGCAGATCGAATCCTTCTTGGGATGAATCAATCGACATTTTGGGGCCTTGCTCAAAAGCTCCAGGCATTGTAGCCCACCGTCCAAGACCGTTTTTCTTTTTTTGGTTTGTTTTTTGTGCAATCTCAGGCGTGCATGTGGTCCTTCGAGCAGGATTCTTGCTCCAGCTCTGATCCGGTGAAGTTGAGACCTGGGGGTGCGCTGAAAAGCGCCACGGTGTCCCCGTGCGGGACCATGCTCCTGACCCTCTCCACAGAGGAGGGCGGCAGCGGCAAGTTGTGGTGCGCCCAGTCCCACCACTTTCTCCACAAGCTCCAGGGTGGCTGTGGCTCCGCCTCCTTTGCTCCCGACGGGCAAAGCTTGGTGGGTGTCGATGCAGATGGAGTCGCTGTGATTTGGTGTGCTCGCACAGGGCGGGTCTCGCAAAGGATGTTCGCCCCGAACGCATCTTCGCAGTGGGACACAGACTCCGATGACGACACCGAAATGAGCTTCGCCAATTTCTCGCCTTGCGGAAGGTATGTGGTGACCGCATCTGGCTTCGGCGCTCAGTTATGGGACACCTCTGGTAACCTGCTACACACCTTGCATGGGCATGAAGGCAGCATCAGATGCACAGCTTTTGCGCAGAACAGCCGATTCCTTCTGACAGCTGCCTCGGATGATAGCGCCAGACTCTGGGATGTGGAGACTGGCAGGTGCCTGCGGGTACTGGTGGGCCACCAGGGTGCCTTGATCCTTGGCTGACCCAAGCAGCCCCTTTCTGGTGGGATATGGTGGACAGGTCGCCAAGTGGCAGAAAGGTGACCCCCTAAAGTCTTGCTCGCATAGGCTGAAATTCCTGGTGCACACTTTGGTGCGTGGGACGGCGATGCCTTTTCCTCGATGTCCTTGTTCTCATGCGGGAAGTGGAGTTCTCCCGATTCCATGTCTGAACCCTTTCCCAAGGTTTGAGAGAACAGGATCTGGGCTCGAGGCAGGTTTCTGCTCGCCATGTCTACGAATGCTCTCAAGCATTTGAGCCGCAATCAAAACCCGGGTAGATGAAGGATAGTAAGGGGCAATCCCAACCATAAATAGCTGCGGCCGCCTTCTTGCTTCTTTACGGGTAGACCACTTTGATACCGGGTTTTGATTGTGACTCATTTGGCTTACATACTCCTTTCCTATGTATATATATATATATATGACACATCAAGGCAATGCTAACCCAATCATTGGCAAGCCAACCGAGCGCCACGTCTTGTTCAGCCGAGGAACTATTGCACCTTCTCCCCCACCGGGGAGGCGGCGATGACGGCGAGCCGGGACGGCACGGTGAAGCTTTGGGAGTTTGAGGACTTGGACCTTGGCCTTGGGGAGGCGCTCAGGGTGGACTGCTCCTTGACTTTGGAGGCAGAAGGACAGCTGGGGGCCAGGGGGCCATGGGGGCCATGGGGCCATGTAGCTGTGGCTCACACAAATGTACCAGAATGGCACCTTGGTAAATGGAGCCAACGACTAAAAATTGCGTAACCCTAGCTTCTCAATTTTGAGCCACACCCCATGTGGGGGTTGTTCCTATGGATTCTGGGGGAGTGATAGGAGGCCGAAAGATTGGGCATGAGTTTGATCGGGGACCCGGTGGACCTGATGTGGGTCAGAACGTTATGCGCACCAACCATTCTTGAGGGGGTGTGAGAAGCACAAGCCAGCACGTCAAGAGGGAAGTGGCGTCGAAGGGTTTGCATGACCTTTGGGACGCTCAGACTTTATGCGGATCGATTGGACCATGTTTGCTTGGCAGTGTTTCAAGGGTTGGTTCAGGCTGGGAACCGACCTTCGATGCTAGTGCTGCAGAAGGCAACGTCTATATCCATTTCGGGGTTTCATTTGGGTTCCCACTCCAATCGTTTCCCATTCGAACAGCGCCCAACACCGACTCCATTTAGCAGGTTCTACCTGGTTTGATTGGAGTTCTACCTGGTTTGATGGGGATATTCGGGTTTACACCTTAGCCCCCAGGTGTTTGGCTCACGAGAAAAAAAAAAAAAAAAAAAACGAGAGTCGCAGGAGGCGTGGTGAGCTCTGCTTGCTTCTCTCCGGAGGGCTCTCGACTGCTCATCGCCTGCGCCTCCGCCACGGTGCGGCTGGTGCACATCGCCACGGGGCAGCTGCAGCTGTCGCCGCCCGGCGGGACGGCGGGACGACGGGAAGGGGCCCAGGGGCTCATGGGCCAAGGGGCGGTGGGAAGTCGAGTTCTGGGGCTGGGAGGAAGTGGGGGTTGATCAGAAGTTCCGATATGCAGGGAACGACCGTTGGTTGGACAACCACCAAAAAGATTTAGATTTAGACCGCTAAATGGGACAAGTTACCCATGGTCATTTGGGGGCCAGGAATATAGATAAACCCCCAGTGCTGAATCAGCCCACAACATCAACATCTTGCGAATCCTTCTGATTGATGTCAGGGTTCCCAAAGTCGTGCTTGTGCCCAGTGGCCAGTGGCTACTCGTGCCACTTGGCTTCCCCTGTACAGCACGTATTGGCCGATTTGGTTTCTTTGACCTGGCAAGGAACTCCCAGCGTCGCAGCGAATTGAGGCTGGAGGGCCTTCACGAGGACTGGGTCAGATCGGCCAACTTCTCACCAGATGGGCTCATCATTGCCACGTCCTCCTACGACGGCAACGTGGGCGTTTGGCCGCCTGGCGGGACCGGACATCGGACACGAGGCCTTTTTTTGCTTTCCAGGCAGGAAGGCCTCAGGAACCCACCCAAGTATTGGAGATTCCTGCTTGCAGACAAGTTCTCATACATTGCCTTGACTGGTTGGCAAGGTTTCATTCATGTTTTATTCATGAACCATATGTGAAACTTACCCGGGGGTGCATTGGAAGCAGTTTTCGCCATGCGTCCTGAGCGGACTTCGTCGTTTGCCTTCTCATGCTGCGATCAAGACGAGGTAGCTCGTATGAGGGCCCCAAATCCTTTTGGCGTTGGCAGCCAGTGGTCTTTCCTCATTTTTCGAGAAGTGGTTTTGCCTTGCTACTTCTTTGCCCACGCCCAGCCCTCCTGTAGTTTCAGGAGTAGCATGGAACAAGAAGTCATGTTGAGAGACCTCTCTTGTCCATGTCGGAGTTTGAGGAGCGCCACTACGGGCAAGTGCTTGCGGGTACTCCAGGGTCATAGCCAAGCCGTGGTTTCCGCTCACCTGGCCGCATAGGACTGGGGTCAAACCGAGAAAACCTTCCTGAGCACCCTGGTCTAGACCCCAACCCCACAGAAAAGACAGCAGAGAGAATGGAAATTTCTCGTGGGCGCTTTCGTGGATCCAAAGTGGTCTTTTGTTTTCAGCGTGCACCCGGAGAATGTGGCAGCTATCACCCCCCGCGTAACTGCACATGTGTTGCGCTTTGCACGGCAGAGCCAACAAGCCTGAGGAAAGTGTTCTTGAGGGGTCAACCGATCCTCTCCATTTTCCCCACTCCCTGTCGGCAGGTTTCTTTCCTCGGTTTAGACATCGAAGAGTGTCAACTGGCGCCTCTGTTGAGTCTGAGAAAAGGAGAGAATGAGGGTGTGCTGCGTGTTATTTGTGGCCATCGTCAATCAGGGTAGCAAGAAACACACCATCACCATGCTGTCGGCCAATGTTCCAGATCTCACCTTCTGAGCACTTTTCTGTGCTTCGGACAGGGAATACCATGGGACAACAAACTGCGGCAGCTGGTACTGGTTTCTCCTGGTTGCAACAACAAGTTCGTGGAGTCTGACTCCGAGGGTCTTTTATCTCGCCAGGACCCTGCGCAGACAACACCCTGACACGCCGGCATCGGTTTCTTTTTTCTGGATTTTTCTGGTCAATCGGCCCGCTACAATTAGAGAGACCCGTTTCCTGACTTGACTTTCGCGAAAACCTTCAAGCTGGAGCTGGGTACTGCCGAGCAAGGTCGGATTCTTGCAACACGTTCACCGGCCATGTGATGGTTCCTCCGGCTGTTTGAAGGGCAAGTTTTCGCAGCTGTTGCTTTACGGAGGAAACATCAGCTGCAATTTCAGCTCTCTTGGGGGAGACGCTATCGATTCTTAGCTGAGCCCAGCGCATACGTGACGTGCTTCTGTTTTCCATGGGTTTCAGCACTACTTGGCTTGGCAGTTCCAATGGGTTTGTTAGGTCCAACCAGCTGGACGACTCCGAGCCAACAGTGCATAATCATAGAATTTTGCGCGAGCTCTGGTGCAACCCCCAAAGGCCTTGTTGAACGTTGTCCCTTGGCTTCCGCAGACTTGCAGAGACCACTGCGAATCTGCAGGGAGTGGGAGCCAGGGCTCTTTTACCCGCTTGGCCCTTGGGTCTGGGTTTGGACATGTCCAGAAAGAGAGAGAGAGAGAGAGTGGCCATTGGGCCATTGGGCCCTTTCCCAAAGGAACGTTTTCCACCAGAGATTGCCTGAATGTGCACGGTCACCGAAATGCTTCCGCCTAAAGGGCATGCTGTGCAGGTTGTGAAGAGTCCGGCGAGGGCCTGGCCGGAAGTCTGCCAGGTGCAGCCTACGAGGTAGGGGGTGATCTGTGGACTTCTTTATTAAAAACAAAAAACAAAACAACAAGAAACGCACGCACACACACACTTTTGTCCATGGTAAGGGCTTCTTCGCACAAGAAGTTCGGTAATTTTTGTTGCTGAGAGGTCGGATGTGCTGTTCTGGCTGCCTTTCATTTCGGCCGGCTTCCAGCCTTAGTGCCATCTCGGGTCCACAGCGAGCCGCCGGGCAAGCCTGTAGTGCCTGGATAGCTTCGGGTGGCTCTGGGGAAGGCGGGGGGGGGGGGGGGGTTGGATGGGAGAGCGATGGTTTGTTTTGGTCAGAAATTTCCATGGACTAGACAACTGGTTTGTTTCATGTTCAATGGTGTGCGCTTGTGGAACGGTATCCAACAGGACTCTGTTTTTGTTTCTTCTTTTCTCTTTTACTCGTTTGGGATTGACCTGAACGTGGCCAAAGGCAGACATGGAAGGCCCTGAGAATGGATATTCTGTTTTGCTTTGGTGATGTTGGCAGAACAATTTTCACCGCGGTCTTCCGATTTCTCACGCATCCTATCCTGTGTTCTTGAGGGGGAGGCCAGGTGTCTAGTTTGACGGCAGAGTGTAGGGAGGTTTCTTGGCATTGTGAAACTAGCAGTGTGGCTTTGTCCTGCCACCAGAAGGCTTCCTTTTTTCCTGCTTCAAGTTTTGTTTCTGCATGGCCCAAATTGTGCTTGTCAGTTCTTGTTACCAAAGGTGGTGAAACAACCATCGTAGCATGTTTGTTTTCGTGTCTGTTGACTTTTTGAAGAGCAGAGCTGCCCATATTCTGCTGCCCAAGGAGCCTTATGTCTCGATGGTGAGTCAAGTCTTCCGTGAAGAACTGGCCCTTCGCCTCAGGCAGCTGCCCTTCCCTGTTCCGTGAGCGCTGCCTCAGGGCCTGGTGTTCGGTTCGGCAGACCGAAAGCGCTGCGGAGCCGAACGCCAAAAAACATTTTGCTCAATTGGCACCGCTCTTCACGCCAGGGAGTCCGTCACTTCGCCGGACCATTCGGACATCAATTCGGTGGGTGGCTTCCTTGGATTTGGGTTTGAGGCGTTCGCAAATGCGGGGGCTCCTTGGCGAATGGAGTTTGAAGTGCATGTATCGATGTAAAGTGATCGCCTGCTGTCGCGGCCTTGCCTCGGCAAGCCCATTGACAAGAAACGTCCTGCGAGAAGTTTTCCTGCGGGCCGCTCTCAGACCGGCAGTGGGCCCAGCCAACCAAGGCTATTTCCGACACCTCGGGACCTCCCCAGATTCCCTAGATCAGCTTTGGAACGAAGGCACTGGACGCTTGCCGGGATTCAAGCAGAAAGGTTTCGAACACCGGGGATCCCGGGGGAAGAGGTGTGTCGAGGTACACAGCCCGCCTCGCGGCACACAGCATGCACGGGAAGGGATTTTTCGAGAGAATACCGTCACCTCCACGCGAAGCCGAAGATGGTGCTGGTAGTTGGAGTTGTGCGCGAACTGCAAGAACAAAAAAGGCTGGGGTTGAGACAAGCAGTCTCATGTTGCCATGATTGCAGACATGATTACAGGGATTCGTAGATCTTGTGATCTTTTGTACACCAAGTGCGTGAGTGACCATGCCCCAGACACTTCGTGAGCATGTGGATGATTCTTGCAAACGTTCCTGGTGCTCCCTGGGATAAATGCAGCCATCAGCTGATCAGCTGAGCAGAGAGCACATCACATTTTTTTTGGCTTGAGGATTGAATGGAAGCTGTTGCGGCTGCAACGTCACAGATTAAAAAAGTAGACGTCCAAAGCACCAAAAGTCAGAGAGCTGCGCTTGACGCTGCGGAGAGTCGTCCAGGACAGGGTTCCGCCCTGTGCTCTGACCGGGCCACTTTGAATCAGCACCGTCTGGGTCGGTGCCATGGCGATTTCCTGGCAAGAGTTTCATCACCCATGGGAATCGGAGCTCTTGAGATGCGTCAGCATTTGAGGGCCCCAAGCAAAGATTTCGAGAATGCCAAGCCCAGAAAAACAAGAAAAATCAAAAAAAAACGTCAGACGTGTTTTGGAGGACTCATGACCACAGTGGCCCGCAGAAGGCAAGGACGGGTGGCGGTAGCAACTGTTTTTACTTCTTTTTGGTTGCTACCTGGATGCGACGAGATGTCTGTCGACGACGGGGCTTCAACTTCTTGTTCTTGGGGATTCAGGCTCACGCGCCAGCCAGGGTTGCCAAGCACTCGCTGGAACTGCAGTTTGGAGCTTGCCAGGTTGATGAGAGACTTGAAGAAGCTGCAATCCGATCCTCCGCAAGGTTGGGAGGGTGCACTTACCAGTGTTGCAACATAGTTGTTGATCCGCTCGCTAGCTGTGGATGTGTGGATGTGGATGCGGGTATTTGGTTGCCTGCCTTCTTGGCTTGCAACACGAAATTGGGGTTGGCACCTGCTCGAGCCATCTCTCGAGGCATCAGCGCGTCTCCGCTGAAGGATGACATCATGAACTGGACCGCGGTGATGTTTGGGCCAGTTGGGCGCCAAGAATGCGAAGCCAAGTTTTCGGAAGCCAGTGGCGAGTCTCGTTCCTTGGGCCTTTGGCTGCACAGCTGTAACGTCGAGATGAGATTTGGCCAAGTCCGCAAGAGCTTCGCATCTTTCCCTGAACTGCAAAGGGAGTTCAGAAAGGCCGTGATTCAATTGTGTCCCAGAAACCATATGGCTGTGGGTCAAAAATGGGCACCCAAAATGGAATCCTGGTCAATGGAACCATGGACATTCAACCCTGCGGTCCGATTCCTGGTTTCATTTTGGCTCATACCCACTGAGGACGACACGCCCTGGGAAGGCGGCACCTTCCAATTGGAGGCGTCGGAGTTGTGGCCTGTGGCTGGTCGTGGCTGGTCGGGCGGTCGGGCCGCACTTCGCCCGTTTGGCCGAAGATGGTGGCAATTTGGGCCATGCCTTGCACACGTGAGCTGATGGGCAGAAACACGTCAGTTGGGCGGACGGACTGACATGAGAGCGAGCAAACTGGGCTTTTTTCATGAGCACTTTAGTCAAGTTTCTCAATGGCTCTGTCCAAAGGTGTGGTCGGTTCAAGAATCGAGCTGGAGATGTTTGGCAGGGTTGTTGAACCAAAGAAGCACAATTTGTTTGGAGAAGGTTGGATGTAAACCCCACGGATCCAAACTGTTTAAGGGTGATTTCAAGGAGATGGCTGTGCATCAACACCTTTTCGGTACCATTTTGGGGTAGGTGAATTCACCACCCATTTTAGAACCTGTTTTAGTGGTTGGATGGGGATGTTCACTGGGGGATTAGTGGGTTTTGACCCATGATGACAGCCATTCCAGTCTGGGCAGGTGAACTTCTCCGAGGAGTTTCCGACCAAGCCGCCGCACGTCAAGTTCTTGACCAAGGCCCTCTCTTGGGAAGAATCGGGGGAAGGTTTGGCGTCACACGCATTCCATGAGAGTCGGGTTAGGCGCATCATAGGGATTGGGATTTTGAAGGTGTGAGGTTTCGCCTGAGATGTGTCTGTTTGGCGGCTGCACTCCCTTTTTCCTAGAAAGCAACCAACCAGCCCCGAACTTTATTTGCCTCCAGACCCCACACCGAAACCCGTGACAATAAATCCCGGATTCACTTCGACTCAGCGCCCCCGTCACCAAAACATGTTTTTAATCCCTTCCCCCAATGTGGTGTGTTGCTCACAAGGGTTTGGAAAACGGCTTGCTCCGGAAAAAACCAAACGAGCATTGAGCACTTTCAGAGGATTGCAAGCAAATGCCGTGGCCTGCCGATGGCTTGGCTTGCCGTGCGGCTCTCCTCTTGGGACCAACTTGCTGCGGCCTGCTCTTGCTTCAGCTTTGCCAAACCCCTCAGCCCCTCCGCCAGATGTTCCATCCGAACATCTACCTCAACGGGGAGATCTGCCTGGATATCCTGCAGGAGCTTCCTTGGGGCCAGTGCCGGTTCCCTCTAGGCGAATCCCAGCGTGGCCTGTGCGATGAATTTCAAGAGGGAGCCGCAGAAAAAGTGGTCTGTGGGCATAAATCCCCACTGAAATGATGTCCACCAAATTCGCTGACTCCATGTGGCTTGCGTGACGTCACTGCGCGCTCCTGGCCCTTGCTTGGACATCGGTCATGTTTACCGAAGCAACAGCTATGAGGCTTACTTGTTCCCACAGTCCACTCTGATGATGCCTCATGTGGTAGCTTTCGTTTGAACTTGGACAATCCCGAGCAGATGGACAGAGCCAAGTTCAAAGGGCGAATGCTCACCAGAGGTTGGCTCTTGCATTGATGCATATCCGGACGAAAGCAACAAAACACGCCCAAGCACCCACCCACACACGCGCACACACCCAACACACCCAGCACCCAGCACACCCAGCACACCCAGCACACATGCAGAAGCAATCCTTGCAACCTACGCACAAGCGCACAGACACATTCCAACGGGGGAGAGGCGGCCGCTCGCGGATCCGACGATCGGATCTGACCCAATGTCGGACTTCTCTGTCGACTTCACCAAGAGCTATGCGCGGCGCCGGCCCGAGGAGCCGGGCGGCCCAGGAGCTGGCGACATATTTTTCAAGATGGCTTGAAGTTCTCAGGACCTAGAGACACGAGATTTTGAAGCTTCGAGCTGGTGGCTGAAATTTTTTTTGGTTTGGCAAGGGGCTCCTAGCTTGGAACTTAGGTGCTGCTGGCTCACATCGGAGCAGCTGCTCCAGAATCCATTTGTTTGTGAGACTGGAAGTTCTGAAGGCTGCGAGTATCCTCTTGCTCAAAGGGACTCGATGCCCGTCTTTGGCCCTGCCCGAGGCCGCGGTCGCACTACTCACAGCGCTTGAAGTTCATCAACACCCTGATCAAGGGCCCCAGACCCCGGAAGGGTCGGAGTGGGAAGGAGCTGAGCCAGTGGGCGCGAGCGAAACACGAGGAGAGAAAGGGGGCTCCCGGTCGATGCAAGCATTTTAATGAAGTCCAAAGGTTGGAAGGCGAAAAATTAAGACCTCATCCATCAAGCGGTTGAATCCTATCAAGCGATTGAATCCATCAAGTGATTGAATCCAAAGGTTGGACAGCGTAAATCCTATCAAGTAGCACGCTGAACATAGGGCCAATCGGATGGTTGGACGGTACTGGCGTGTTTCATCCGAGGCGAAGGGGAGAAGATCACGGATGACCGCATCGAAGTGCTCTCCCATTGCCCTCCTGGCTTGTTCTTGCGAATGATTCATTGTTCAAGGCAGCCATGACAACGCTGGCCAGAATGGCTTGAATTGTGTTCCCATCCCATTGAAAATGGAACCTTGGCTCCAAGCACTTTGAAGCAGATCGGTCGCTCCTTGGTTGTCCTGCTGGGTACCTGTTTAGCCAGACGAGATGCCCTGTGTTGGCCGGAGAGAGCGACGATGGTTTCGGGAGCTCTCGCATCGCCGCCGCCCATTTGCCTACTTGACAACCAGCCCCGGGTGCGACTTTGAGAGGTTTGTACCAGGTAGGTTGACATGTCTGGCAGTGAGCAGATCCAGCCTTCCTGAGAAGAGGTTACAGCAACGTGAAGTACCTGGCGAACGCCGCACAGCTCAGGACAAGGCAACTAGGCAACCCAAGAGGACATAGTGATTTGGCATTGCACTCGGTTTATGGACACGTTCAAACGCAAGCACCTAGCACAGAGATGCACAGATGCCAACACCCAACTTGAGAGCCGGTTCTCCGTAAGAGGCTCTCAAGAGACAGGAGGTGCATTACTCTTTGTGCTGCAGCAGGGGGGGACGATTCTGAGGTCTACAACACAGAGATCATGGACATGCTGCGGAAGTACGAAGCTTCGATGCCTTTGAGACAGGGTGCACATGGGTTTGTCTCAATCGGGGACCTGTAAAAACAAGTCCGCTTTGGGTTCCCTTCAAAAGAAGCCCGCAAAGAGTACCCAACAAAAAGACACCCAGAGGTGTCATTATTTTCATGGGACACTTGCACCCGTGTTGCTTTTTTGTTGCCATGTTGGGCTTTCGCTCCCTACCCAAAAAACCTCCGGGAACAAACAACTACTGCCTGGTAGTTCGATTTGGGTATGGGTCAAAAATCGGTCAGGAATCGGTCCCCAGATTTTTTCGTCCATGTTTCCGCTGACCAGGCAAGCCAGTGTGGGGTTACCCATTTTTTTGACAACCACACCCATGTTTCGGGCATGCTCCGTCGGGAGTGCGAAAGAGCCGAGGACCCTGAGATCCAATGAGCACCGAGGCTGGCCGGCTAAGCATATGGAGAGGGTGACATGCTGGCGGTTTTCTCGTTTGTGACTCGATTTTTGGTTTTCTTGTTTGTGACGATACTTTTGGTTTTCGTTTTTGTGACTCGATTTCGCAGCTCACTGGGCTGCTTCTCTGAGCAAATTTTGTGCCTTGTGCAGCCGGGTATGCGAGCTTGGCGGCGCGAGGCTCAAGGTCACCCTCAAGGGGTTGACCAGCAGGTAGCTCGATACTCGGGTGAGGCGTTTGTCAGACGGGTGCGCTCGATCGCAATAAGGCCGCCAGTTCTCACACTTGGCTACATTTTTTGTTGGAGAACATCGAAAGGGTCCTCGATTAGAGTTCGCGCCAACAGGGGTGGTGGCATAGCCCACCCCTAGCAAGCCCTCAATTCAGAACAGCGAAGTGCATTTGGCCTACGACTACGTGCTCCTTGGCATGGGCAGCCTTGAGATCTTGAGAAGTGAGCATCTTATCCCTGGCCCCTCCTCCAACCTCCTACCTCCAGCCGGCCGGCCGTCCGGCCATTTGGGCTCTGACCTCCATGCTCCAGGAGCTTCCGACGTCGGTTGGGACATTGGTTTGGGCCCACCTCAGAGCAAACCCAGAACAAGCCCAATGGCTGTGGCTCAAAAAACCGGTACCAAAATGGAACCCGGGTAAGTGGAAACTTGGACCAAAGCCTTAACCCCTCCTGTTTAATTTTGAGCCACACCCCAATCAGCTTTGGTGTTTGATTCAACATGGTCTTGGTTTCATCCGTGCTTGCAGAAGAGCGGTCAGGATCAGAGCAATGTGTCTCACTCTCAAGAAAGTAGCAGTGACTTGCGAGAGGAAGCGTGCCGTCAGTTGAAGCTGACATTGCACTTGTTACATAGTGTGTCTCGGGTTGAGAGAGGAGCAAGCAAGCATCTGTCTTTGGATGCCATCGGTTTGAGCCAGACATGACGCCCACTTTGACGGAGCACTTGGAGATTTTGAGAAAGCTACGGCTTGTTTGTTCTGAAGGCTTGCCCCTGGATTTGCTGATTTCAGGTGCTCTTTTGACTGGCACATGAAGTTGGTGCATGTGTTTTCGGGGATCAGTGATCAGTATCTATCAGATGTTGTGGAGCTGTTCGAGGAATGCAATGCTTGCAGAGCAGACAAGGCTCCGTACCGGCCTCAAAGGCAGCCGCTTAACGCGCAGCGCCAGTCTAAGTTGCCCATTATGTTTGTGCCAATATAGTGGTCTTCTTTTGACTCTCCTTTAAGCAAGTCACTCCCCCAAAGGGGCCCTCCCTTGTCTTGGGCGCCAGGAGCGGCGGGCCGCGATGCCGCCGCTGTCCAACGCGGCGCGGGCCTTGCGCGCCCAGAGCGGAACGGACCGCGTGACGGAGCTGCCGGAGGTCGCACCGGCGGTGCTGCCGGGCCATTTGAAGTTTCTGGACGGGAGGCACGCGGCAGTTCGGCGGCGAGTATTGGTGAGTATTGGTGGGGGCGGGTGAGTATTGGTGGGGGCGGGGGGGGGGGGGGTGGGGGGAGATTTCAGGCAAGATGAGCGGGATTCCTCAAGGCCTTTCTGCCAGATGCTTTCCGCAAGGAACCTTTCTGAGAAAGTAGGGGTTTCCGGGATTTCCCCGGGCCACTAAGCCCAAGATGAGCCAGCGCACATGTTGGACAAATCGAGTTTTTGGAGCGGAAGATCGGTGTGAGGCCTAAGCAGCCCGAGGCCGTGAGCGCGCGCGACTTCTTTAAGACCCAGGAGAGCACACAAACGACTGCTGTGAGTTGTCCCCGACTCATTCCAAAAGCATATTTGTTTGCAAGAGGAACATTTTCGAGGTTCATTTATCGTGGTGTTGTGCTTGGGCATTGCCCCGTTAGACAGTTTTAGCCCGGCTGTTTGACCACTGGTCTCAGAATCGCAGTTTTTCAGCCCCCTGCCTCCAGGAGCTTCATGAGAAGATGAAGTCTCTCGCGCTCTCGGACCATTTCGACTCCTTTGGCAAGGTTGGAGCCGCGAATCGGTTTCGCTCTACACGGAGTGAGACATCAAGCTTTGAGCTTGCTCGAGTCGAAGGATGTATAGTTTCGTGGTGAAACGAATCCATGCACGCTTTGGGGGGGTTCCAGGAGTTCTGGTTTGAGCCAATCCCGAGATGCAAAATCGTTGGTCACTGAGACCAGCATTTTTGTCCCCACCACACCCATCCCCAAGCGCGTCGGTTTTCTGCCCTTGGTCCCCCAACCTCCCCCAACCCCCCAACCAACCCCCCAACCAACCCCCCCAACCAACCAACCCCCCCAACCAACCCCCCAACCAACCCCCAACCGGGTTGGTTGGGGGGTTAGTTGGGGGGTTGGGTGGGGTTGGTTGGGGGGTTGGTTGGGGGGTTGGTTGGGGGGTTGGTTGGGGGGTTGCTTGGGGGGTTGGTTGGGGGGTTGGTTGGGGGGTTGGTTGGGGGGTTGGTTGGGGGGTTGGTTGGGGGGTTGGTTGGAGAGCTGGGGTGGTTGGGGGGTTGGTTGGGGGGTTGGTTGGGGGGTTGGTTGGGGGGTTGGTTGGGGGGTTGGTTGGGGGTTGAAAGGTTGGGGGGTTGAAAGGTTGGGGGGTTGAAAGGTTGGGGGGTTGAAAGGTTGGGGGGTTGAAAGGTTGGGGGGTTGAAAGGTTGGGGGGTTGAAAGGTTGGGGGGTTGAAAGGTTGGGGGGTTGAAAGGTTGGGGGGTTGAAAGGTTGGGGGGTTGAAAGGTTGGGGGGTTGAAAGGTTGCGGGGGTTGAAAGGTTGGGGGGTTGAAGGTTGGGGTTGGGGGGTTGAAAGGTTGGGGGTTGAAAGGTTGGGGGGTTGAAAGGTTTGGGGGGTTGAAAGGTGGGGGTTGGTGGGGGTTGGGGTTCCCAACCAACCCCCCAACCACCCCCAACCAACCCCCAACCAACCCCCCCAACCAACCCCCCCCAACCACCCCAGCTCTCCAACCAACCCCCCAACCACCCCAGCTCTCCAACCAACCCCCCAACCAACCCCCCAACCAACCCCCCAACCAACCCCCCAACCTTTCAACCCCCAACCCAACCCAACCCCCAGCGTTTTTCTTCCCCTTTCTTGGCATCGAACAACTACCGAAGACGTCGAGACGTCCAGTCCAGGTGCGGTTCCAGCGGCTGGGCCTCACCTTCGCGGCCAAGCAGATGATGCCCCAGATGGCGGCCTATGGCTCCGTGTCGGAGGTGCCACCCGCGGAGAAGAAGAAGGAGGGACGAATGGCGGGCGATGGAGCTGGGGAGTTGGGTGGAGCTGGTGAATTGGTGGGTGGAGCTGGGGAGTTGGTGGGTGGAGCTGGTGAAGTGGCGAGCGCCTGTTTTGGAAATTCCTCGAAAACTACAGAGAGTTTAGAATGGCGCGTAGAACCTTTTGGGGTAACTGGCGGCAACTATCAGCCCATTCCCAGGGTTTGGTCCAAGGACACCGCCACGCAGCCACCGCTTTGGAAGGGGTTGCTGACACGTTCTCAGTCTGTAAGAACCTTCTCGGATAGTCGCCATCCTCATGGACGGCCTTTCCCACTTTTGGTGTGGCATTTTCCATGGTAGGGCGGGGCGTTTCAACAGTCCAACATTGGCCATATTGGGAACTGACCTTCAAGATACCCCTCGCGATCTTCGATTTTTCATGGCAGAGATTGCATCGTAGGGGGGGCTTTCATTTGTTCATTGTATGTTTGCGTGTTGTGTCTCTGTGCGTGTGTGTGTGTGTGTGTGTGTGTGTGTGTGTGTGTGTGTGTGTGTGTGTGTGTGTGTGTGTGTGTGTGTGTGTGTGTGTGTGTGTGTGTGTGCGTGCGTGCGTGCGTGCGTGCGTGCGTGCGTGCGTGCGTGCGTGCGTGCGTGCGTGCGTGCGTGCGTGCGTGCGTGCGTGCGTGCGTGCGTGCGTGCGTGCGTGCGTGCGTGCGTGCGTGCGTGCGTGCGTGCGTGCGTGCGTGCGTGCGTGCGTGCGTGCGTGCGTGCGTGTGTGCGTGTGTGCGTGTGTGCGTGTGTGTGTGTGCGTGTGTGTGTGCGTGCGTGTGTGTGTGTGTGTGTGTGTGTGTGTGTGTGTGTGTGTGTGTGTGTGTGTGTGTGTGTGTGTGTGTGTGTGTGTGTGTGTGTGTGTGTGTGTGTGTGTGTGTGTGTGTGTGTGTGTGTGTGTGTGTGTGTGTGTGTGTGTGTGTGTGTGTGTGTGTGTGTGTGTTTTTTTGAAGAGGGAGATTACCCCGACCGCAGGCAATCTTAACCCTATTGGAACTGTGAAGAGGGCACTCAAAGGCGGGTTGTGGAGGTCATGGACATGGGCTTCCTGGAGGGCATGATCAGGCAGGTCGTGGAGGCCATGGACATGGGTTTCCTGGAGGGCATGATCAGGCGGACCGTGGAGGCCATGAGTTTCCTGGAGGGCACGATCAGGTAAGGGACATGGGTTTTCCGGAGGCCACGATCAGGGCGCTCGTGGAGGCAACAAAGGCACGATCCAGGCATTTGGAGAAGCAGCGAACCAGGTCTGCTTGGAGGATTGATGGAAGTCCGACCCAGGCAGTTGGAGCCCTATGCCAATTGGACGCCGCAGAACGACCCGTGCATCAGAAATGGAGGCGGAACACCGGGCCCTGGAGCGGTGAATCCGTTCTGGAGTCCTGAGGTGCAACAACGAGTGGCCCTTGGTCGGGTGCCGCCTGGAGGTGCTTCATCGCAGGAGCGACGGGAACCTGGCTCTGGGAGGAGATCGGGAAGTGGAAGACCTACGGAAAAGGGTTCTTCGAGAAGCGGAGGAGACCTTCGAGCGGGAGGTCATGAGGCTGCAAGCAGCAAGGGCGGGAGACGACGTTTCCTACAAGACGGCATCGGACGGAGGAGCAACTGGTGGTCCGGTACCACCGCCTCACCCTGAAGCTGTGAGGAACTTTGGCCATGGATGGGCCACTGAGGATCGACCTCCTCCACCGCCGCCTCCGAGACCGATTGAAGGAGGTGGCGAAGCTACGACGGCTTTGAGGCCCTGAGGAATTTGGAGCTTCCTAGTCTACCCCCACCTGGAGGTGAGGGGTCGTCGCTGCAATTTGGAGACTGGGTGACGGTCATCACCCCGCTGATGTCAGACATTGCGGGATCGGCCAGGCTGTGGTGGGAGCAGGTCCTGCAGAAGGCGGAGCTTACCTGCGCGGAGTGGCTTACGGCGACACCGTTGGAGAAGCTCCGGTTGAAGCCCACGCTGGGGGATGTTGAGGCACGCAATCACCGGGTTGAGCGAAGGGGGGTGTCGATGCTACTGCCTTGCCGGACCCCATCAGGAGGGAGATCATCTCTGCCCGGATGATGTCCGCGACGGAGATCATGTTCCGGCTTCACCAGGTGTATCAACCGGGAGGCACCTCGGAGAGGGGCAACCTGTTGAAGCACCTCACCGACCCAAAGGTGGGGGCTAACCTGTGTGATGCTCTGCAGACCTTGAGACTGTGGAGGAGATGGTTGGCAAGAGCTGAGGAGTTGGATGTGGCGCTTCCGGACGGGCTGGTGCTGATCACGGTCTTGGGAAAGATCGCAGAGGTGGTCGGCAAGACCGGGGCTCAGGCTTCATTTAGAATCTCCTCGGTTCGGCAGGAGCTGCAGATTGATATTCGGCCTCAGATCGGGAAGATCAAGCAGTTCGCGGAGTACCTGCAGGCTGAAGCAGAAGAGCTCTCGCTGACGACGGCGATTAAGGCGGCATCGACTCCGGGAGCAACGGGAACGGGCACAGCGACCTCTAGCCTGAAGGCGCAGGAGCTACGGATGCGACTCCGGAAGTGACGGACAACAGGAGAAAGCCCCAAGGCCCTGCTTGTAGGTTTTGGGGAACAGATGGAGGATGCAAGAAGGGGAGCAGCTGCACCTATGCACATTCGTGGGAAGGCCTGGAGAAAACCAACAGATGCTTTGCGTGTTCCGGGATGGGCCACTCAAAGAGGGATTGCCCGGTCAAGAAATCCACGACTGTGAGCCCTTGGAAGCAGCCGGCTCCAAAGGTGTCCAAGGTCAAGAAGCCAGGAGATGAGAAGGTGCCGACAGAAGGTCAGGCAGCTGGCGGCGAAGTCACCGGGCTCCGCGGAGGAGGCGTCCCGGGAGGCTACGGGGTGGAACCTTCATCGGCTTCAAGATCAACAGGAGAGCAGGCCAGACCGGCCTCTGGAGGGTCGGAAGAAGCCTCAGGTTTGCTGACAGAAGAGGCAGGCCTGCTGAAGTCTTTGAGGTCTATCCGGGCGCTGCAGATCAAATATGCTGCGGCCGGGAAGGAAGCAGGAAGGAGTGAGGAAAAGGAGCAAATGGCGTTGTTGGACGGCGGAGCCACCCACGCGCTACGACAAGCTTGACGATGCGAGAGGGACAATCTCACAGCGGTGGAGGTGGAACTGGCCTGTGGAAGTACGGTGCTGTACAAGCATGCCGGAACGTCTGCCATTTTGACGCTGGAGCCGGTGGAGCCCATCATACCGCTGAGGATGTTGGTAGATGCTGGATTTGTGGTGAGGTGGAATGCCAAGGGGTGCAGTATTGAGCGGCCACGGAAAGCTGCACTGCTGGCTGCGGTATGGCTGTCCGGTCATGCGAAGGTCAGAGGCGATGAAGCTGATGGACTTCTTGGATGCCCGGAGAAGGCGGCTACAGGAACGATGGATGAGGAGCGGTGGCAGCGATGGTTTCCGAGCATCCCGGATGAGGTCCTGAAGCTCATGGGCCGGGTGGAAGGAGAAGCAGAGGTTGCTGCACGATGCCCCTTCAATCGGAGATTGAGGAGGAAGTGGGAAACGAGCAAGGGCGTTGTGGTGCATCTTTTCGCTGGCCGTGATGCCAAGGAATGGCGGAAGGAGGATTGGGGCGGCTATGAGGTCGTCACGGTCGACATAGAGGCAGAATCTTCATGACGGTGCGTTGTGGGGATACCTTTGGAGCCTGGCGGAGAAGGGGCTGATCAAGGCAGTGGTGGGGCCATCAGCCTGATAATTGTGAAGTATCGCAGCCTGGGCATCCCGCTGTACCGCATGCATTGCGATCGGGCGAAGGAGTGCTGGCGAGGCCGGTGCAGCAGTGGTGCTTAGAGCACAATCTGTTGCTCGCCATGACGGCGAGCGATGACCATGCCGCCAATGGACGAGTAGAGACGGAGGTCAACCAGGTGACAAGTAGTCCTCAAGGATTCAGGGGCTCCGGTGAAGCTGTGTGGCCTACAGCACTACGGCATGTGGTGCTTCAAAGAAACCAGATGCAGCTCCAGAAACTTGGGGTGGACACCTTCCCGATGCTTCCGTTCTACTCCAAGGTGATGGTGGCATAAGAAGGGCCCCCTGGCTCCTCCGTTTCGAGAAGTGCGCCTACTGGGTCCTAGTCCAATGATGAGTTGGGGCTGGGTGGTTCAGACAGAAGACGGGGTCATTCAACACACCAGGGCGGCTGTTCTGCCCGACGAGGAGGCCGACGACCACGCAAGGGACCTGGAGGCGTGGAGATGGAGGAACATCCAGGGAAACCAAGAACGCGGTTGACGGGCAAGCAGAGTCTGGAGCCAGGCCCTAAACTGGGGGGAGACGGAGAAGAAGGGCATCCAGCGGCAGATGGAGAAGGTCTGGCACCCGGTCTACGTGAACTGCGAACGGGGGGGGAGTACACCTCTCCATCAAAATCATGGAGTTTTGAAGAAAGCCTGGAGAAGACGAAGAATATCATGAGCAGCTGGCAGCTACCAGTGGGGCTTTAAGGAAGCACTGGCGGAGGAGCTCAAGGTGATCCCCATGGATGAGATCACTGGGAATGGTCAAGGAGCAGCGATGGAGTTTTTGTTTGGGTGGCATCAACCAGCTGAAGAATGACCTGGTGATCATGCAGGACCGGGAGAACAAGGACTTCCACAAGCTGGCAGGACTACAGGGAGCAGATGGAGAAGAACCTTTTGCAAACATACACGGTGCCGTTGCAGGAGGTGCGGAAGGATCTGGAAGCATGGAGAGAGGCCATGATGGACGAGTGTCGCTCTCTGGTGAACACAGAGGTGGTCAAGCCTATCGACGAGTGCGATCTGGCGGCAGTTCCGGGGATTGAAGATGCCGAGTACGCCCCGGGGAAGCTGGTCACGACCATCAAGGCCCCGACGGGAAGAAAGAGGGCAAGAGCGGTGATCTGTGGCAATTTGCTGGCGGACGGCAATGGCAAGGTGGCGCGGACCTCCGCGGACAAGGCGGAGAACTATGCCGGGGGCATCGACGGGACGGCTCTGAAAGGGAGCCCATGAACAGTGGTCCTTGGCGTCGGTGGATGTGAAGTGCGCGTTCTTGCGCCCCGGAAGGAGACCCGGCGAACTCTTATCACAAGGCCCCCGAAGGTTTTGGTGGAGGCTGGGATCGTCAACGCGTCAGAGCGGTGGTTGGTTCAAGGAGCCATGTATGGCTTGGACACCAGTCCAGCAGATTGGTCAGCGTTCCGAGAGGACCTATGGCTTGGAACGGACGCCGGAAACCAGTGTATGGTCTGTGCTGGAGTTTGAGGCCGGGGCTCGCAAGGACCCTAAGCCCTGCGGCTACTTGGTGATCTATGTGGACGACTTTCTGGCGGTGGGACCTACTTCCTTGGTGGAGAATGTCATCAAGCGGATCAATCAGGAGTGGGTCTGTAGCGCGCCGGAGTGGGTGAACAAAGCAGGATGGACGAAGTTCTGCGGTATGTAGTTGAAGTGGGGCAAGAACGGTGAGATTCTCCGGGTGGCACAACCCTCGTATATCTCGGAGCTGATGCAGCGTCATGAGGTGGTGATGGCCAAACCGGCCCCGTTCTACAAGCCGGAGGTTCCTGAGAATCCGGTGGTCACGCAGGAGGCGCAGGGACTGGTTGGAGAATTGTTGTGGGTGTCGGTACGCACCAGGCCGGATGTGGCATTCAGGGTTTCCTGGATGTCGCAACATGTCACCCGGTGCCCTTTGGAAGTCGTGAAGGCTGGGAAGGACATGATGGCCTACCTTTACGGCACGAAGGACTTGGGACTGGTCTATGGGCGCTGCCTGGGAGACCGAGGAGCAGAAGGGGATCTTCCTTTTGCAAGATCGATGAGGCGGCTGGAAATGTACGCGGACATCTCTTTTGCGCCGCAGGGAGAGAAGAGCCACCAGGGAGTTTTGGGATTCTATGGTGGTGCCCTCGTCCAATGGGAATCGGGTCGACAGCCTTTTTGCACCCTTGTGCAATCCTGGACATCACCGAAGGGGGATGCTGGAGCGCCAAGGAGGCGGAGCGGGTGATCTACGGGGACAACACGGCGGCCTTGGCAATCGTGCAAAGTCCTTCGGGGCCGTGGCGCACACGGCGCTTGCGCCTTCGATCCAACGTGCTGCGTGAACGAGTGCGAGAAGGGGAATGGCAGATCAGAAATTTGCCGGGTAGCGGGTTGGTGGCTGACTACCTCACGAAGGCGGTCGCGGCAAGGACCCAATGGCTTCGGTTCTACTCCATGGCGGGCATGATCAAGGATGAGTCGGAGGTGGTTTCGCGGCCAGGACCAGGAGAAGCAGACGGTGGTCGGGTCATTGGCAAGGAGGCAGCGGTGAAGGTCGCTGCGACCTGCTGGTCAGGATCGGGGATCGTGCCTGATCCGGGATGTCTGCTTGGCATCCCTTGGAGTGGGTGTAGGATTCGTGCTGGAAGGCCAATGGGCCCAACCCAAGAGGGAAACAAGATCGGCTAGGGAAAATGAACCCCTTTGTGACATCAAGATGGGCTAGGGAAAATGAACCAGCCCCGAGGGTAAAACCGGTGGATCTTTGCCGCAGGCCATTTTACCACTGCCCTACGGGCTGCCCTGCATCAGTAGGTAAGGGTCAGGTGCCGATCGGGGCACTGGGTGAGTGATGGCCTGAAGCTCTGGGTGGTCCAGATCGTGGGTCATTGGATGAGGAGCCCGAGGACTTTTGGGACGTTTGAGCGAGACTTCATCGTGGCGACCCGCATCCATATGCTGAGGAGAAACCGGGACTTTCAACCGGATCCCAGGAACATGCCTCCGGGGGTCAACGCTACGATGCTGGAGGGTCGGCGACAGACAAATTTGGTCTTCGTCGACATCGGACGCGGGCGGCGGGTGATCAATGACAACCGGAGGACGGATGTTTTTCGCGAAGCAGATGCCTGGACGGGATCTACGACGTTTGTGGCTCCTTTGCGGGGCAATGTGAGTTTGAGGGACTTGGGGATCACTTCACTACCGGGTGAACGTGAACGAAGCCGCAGTCCGAGGGATGACAACAACCCGGATGACGCGGGACCAGCCCGTCCCAGGATTGGGAACACCCACGTCAGGGCCCCACAGGAGCGAGAAGTTCGACCACGGCTACGAGCTTTGAGGTGGCTGTCGAAGAAGCCATCTTCGGAGGAGAAGATTGAGGAGAAGAAGATTGAGGAGAAGAAGATTGAGGAGGAGAAGAAGTCAGAAGACCCAGAGGAAGATTCGCATCAGGGTGGACCAGCACTCCCATGGGAGCTCGACCAGTACAAGGTTCCCCCGATGCTCAAGAGCAAGAACAAGGATGGATGGGATTGGTCCCAGCCGCGATGGGCAATCCGCGCACATGGAAAACCTCGGAAGCGCAAGTTCCACCCGATCTACAGGGAGTTCCCGCTGGATGCAGCGCAGCTGGAATCGAGGAGGATCACGGTGAAGCTACACACGGGCACATCGCCTTTGGGGATTCGGT